CTCCTGGAATGAGAGAAAGGGAGGCAATGAGTAGGTGGCACAGCTGTTAGAGTTGATACACATAGGGGAAAGTTGTTGTGATTCCTGAGTGAGTGAGTGAGTAGGCAGTGCAGAGTTGATGCAGGGGCAGTGGTGTGAGGGTTGGGGTGACTGAGAACGAATGAGAGAAGATGTTGCAGGCCGTAGTGAGAGTGGTAGAGCATCAGCCTTCAAGGGAGGTTGCTGTAGTAGCAGAAAGAAGCTGTTGGCACTGATGTTAGTGAAATTGAGAATGCCATTGACCTTCCACAGTACTGGGCATTTCTCAAGGCGGCTGAGACCGCAGTGTCCCAGGCAGCAATCTCGGACCAGGGCTGGCATGATCTTGTATTGTGGCCTCATCTGCCTGTGATGTGGGAATGGACGTCCCTTTTCTGGAAAATGCCATCCACCAGGACCTCACTTTCCCTGAGAGTACATACGGCTATGTGTCTGGTGGTCACCCATTTCCTCCTCTCCCTGCATCCTCGTCAGCTGCAAAGTGACCAGGTCTGTAAACGTGTTCTCCACTTGACTCTCAGCCTCACCAATGTATGGCAGTGACTGCAGCTGCTGCTCACGTTGCAAATCCTGGAGCTCAAACTGCTGCATAAACTGTCATCCAGGAGACCGGGAGCATTCTGAAGTTTCCTCGTAGGATTTGCATTCTTGGGGCCAAAGAAACCCTACCTTTCCTTTATTTATTATGCTTAAAAAACCCTTACCGACACACAAACACCTTACAGCTATTAGATATACCCTTACTGATATTCATAAATCCCACAAATAATCATCACAGTTTGAGTTAAAACAAAAACCATAATTTCAAAAAAGATAACACTTACCAGCTCTTTACTCACTCTTTATTAATATTGATTTTTCTCCTTGCTTTTAATCAAATTGATCAGCAGCTCTCAGGGTGGGTCTGCCTGTCCCACCGGCTCTCAGCCTCATTTCTGCGCCCAGACCCCACTCTTCCGCAGCATGTTATTGCCGCGGGCCTTGGATTTATCCAAGGTCAGTGGGGCGGGGGGGAGGAGTTGGTGGTGTTCTACCTGTTTAGGATGGACTTTCCTTCTGGATGCCGGGGGTTCTAATCCTTGCTTCACCCCCACCCCCCACCATGCTTAGTCACAGTCCCAGCTTCCCAGTCTGTAGAGATCAGCTGCGTTCACTGAGGAACTTTCTCATTTGTCACAAGGATGTGGGATGAAGTTCAACTCCAGACCCTTGAGGACATAATCAGAGCTAGCACTCTCAGAGTGCAGAGCTAGAGAGCACTGCCCTGTTGGAGGTGCTGCCACTCAGATCAGATGCTAAACCATGTTCCTTTCTACCCTCTCAGGTGGCTATATGGAAATTTCAAGGTCATGAAGAGACACTGGATAGGCTTAGGGCTGTTTTCCTGGGATCAGAGAAGGCTGAGGGGGCATTCTGATTGAGGTGAATAAAGGTATGAGGGGCATAGGTATGGTAGATAGGAAGAAACTGTTCCCTGAGTGTAGTGATCAACAACCATGGAGGTAGGTTTATGGTAAAGGGATTAAGTTCATTCAAGGCTGAGGTAGACAGATTTTTAATCAGTACGGGAATCAAGCGTTATTGAGTATAAGGCAGGAAAGTGGAGTTGAGGATTATCAGATCAGCCATGATCTCATTGAATGGTGAAGCAGACTCAATGGGCTGAATGGCCTAACTTTTGCTCCTATGTCTTATAGTCTTATGATCTAAGTAGATGCAGGAACCATTGGTTTTTGTTTATGTTGATTGAAGGATAAATATTAGCCAGGACAATGAATACAACTCCCCTGCTTCTTCAAAATCCTGCCAAAGGATATTTTACTCCCATCTCAGGTGGGAGACAGAGCCTTAGATAAAGATATCTGTAAAATGGCCTTGCCGAAAGATCACACCTGCTCCCCAATACCACATGTTAAATTGCACCCAGAACCTGGAGTGGGACCTGAACACACAACTTTTTGACTTGGGGAAAAAGTGCTACCAACTGAGCTACGAAGACCATGGTATCGGAGGATCAGGAACAAAGCCAAGTTGAGGTATAGATCAGCCATGATCTGATTGAACAATAGAACAGGCTTGAGGGGCGGAATGGCCTCCTGGCATTGACTAATTGCTTTTTAATGAATTAATATCTAAAAGTACAGGTGTGCCAGGATATGGAGGGGAGCTGTAGGATGGTGATGAGGTGGGGGGTGTGGTGGTGTGGTGGAGGTTATGATGGTAGGGCAAGGGAGTACTGGAGAGTGGGGTTGCCTGTCTTTGAAGGGTTGGACATGGATCTTCAAAAGGGGATCTATAATCAAGGCACCTCCCCTGAGCAGAGTGACCTGATGGGCTTTCCCATCAGCTCTGAACTCCTCCCATCAGCCAATAACTGGCCACCTAGGGACCTGAATTTAGGCAGGGATGGTGCAGACCTTGTCCGTGCACCCAACCCTCCTGTAAAGTTGTAGACAGGATGGGGGCAGGTATGGGGGCAGGTATGAGGGCAGTGGAGGGGCCACCAGGTGGGTTTTACAGACCCCCAGTATCTGTGACCCTCCCATCAGGCGTGTGTCTGCGACATCTATGTCATTAACCAGACTATTTGTTGCAAGTTATCTGATATTCATCCAGTTATTAAAATACTCTGCATATTGGAAGGTTCTGAAAGTTATAACTGTTCCTAGTTTTCACTGGTGAAGACTGCAGCAATAAAGAAAGAACCGAAAGAACTGTGGATGCTGGAAATCAGAAACTAAAACAGAAATTGCTGGAAAAAACTCAGCTGGTCTGGCAGCAACTGTGGATAGAAAGCAGAGTTAATGTTTCGGGTCCAGAAACCCTTCTTCAGAACCTTCAAGACTGCAGCAATATTCAGTAACAAGCTAAAGCAAACTAGAAAAGTTGCCATGGCCGTATAGGGCTGCTCTCTCATTAGAGAGAGACGACTGGTGGTGGTTTAACCCGAGAGTCACCATGCCTCAGGCAAGGGATGAGGTTGAAAAGGACCCTCATGGGTAACCTCAGCCAGTGAACCTACATTGTTGACATCACTCTGCATCACAAACCAACCATCCAGCCAACTGAACTGGCTCATCAACTTCAAATAATTTTAGTTTTAGCTCAATTTGAAACTCAGGAAAATACTGAGTAAATTGTTGGCAAAAACAGAAATTGCTGGAAAAGCTCAGCAGGTCTGGCAGCATCTGTGGAAAGAAATCAAAGTTAATGTTTCGGGTCAAGTGACCCTTCCTCAAAACTGATAGTCCATCAGGAACTGACGTTCTCCCAGGGTTTTAAAAGAAGTGGTGAGTGTGAAAGTTGATGCAATGGTTTTAATTTTCCAAAATTCCCTTGATTTGGGACAGTATCATTACATTGGAAGCTAGCAAATTTAATTCAAAAATTTTATTCAAAACGGGAGACAGAAAGCAGGGAACTTCACCTGTCATAGGGAAAATGTTTGAAGCTGTTATTGAAGAGGTTATAATAGGCACATGGATATGTTCAAAATAACGGGTGATGTCAATAAGGTATTGTGAAAGGGAAAATCATGTTTGACCAACCTATTTGAACTGTTTGAGGAGGTAACATATGCTGTGGATAAGAGGAACCAGTGGAGTTACTGCACTTAAATTTCAGAGGGCATTGATAAAGTGTCACATCATACGTTACTGTGCAACATTGAAGCTGGTAACATGTTGGCATGGATAGAAGATTGACTAATGGGAAGCAAAGAGTAGGTGTAAATGGTCTGTTCTCAGGTTAGTAAGATGTAATGAGTTTTGCACTATAGGGATTGTGGCTGAGACCTCAATTGTTTATAACTTGTATAAATAAATGAAAGGCTTATGTGGTTGGAGTAATATATTAAAATGGATTAAGGATTGATAAGGATATGAAGCAGAGAGTAGGGAAAATTTAGATATTTTCAAGTTGTCAGGCTAAGACCATAAGACGTAGGAGCAGAAGTCAGCCATTCAGCCTATTGAACCTGCTCTACCATTCAACAAGATGATTTGATTATCTTCAACTCCCAAGTTTCCCTAGGCTGTACCTGGTGAACTGTTGTATGGTTCAGTGCTGGGGGACCTCACCTGACTACAGTCCATGTTGAGGTCTTAGAATGGGACAGTGAGCACTCAGTGGGAATGTAAACTGTGGCAAGGACATAGAGGTATGAGGCAGGTGAAATGAGTGGGCAATGAGGTGGAGTATAACGTGGGGAAGGGTGAAGTTAGAGTGTTGTTAAGAATAGAAAAGCGGAACAGTTCAGTGTGTGCATGAAGTAAGGAATTGGGGAGACAACGAGCACAGTGGCTTACTCCTGCCTCTACTTTTGGTGTTTCTATGGTTCGGGGGAGGCGGGGGGGGCGGGGGGGGGGGGGGGGTGTGCTTCCCTGTATGAGGCTGGATCCTGCAGCTTGATCCTTGTTTGTTTTGGTGGGGGTGCGGTGTGGATCATTGGTGGGTACCAGCTCTCAGGGAATGGATCTTAGGACTGGATTCCTTGATGGGGGAGTACATCCAGGTGGTTAACCCCCTTTGTGGGCTGGTTCCCTGGATGGGGAAGTGGATCCTGGATTTGTTGTGGGGGTGGGGGGTTGTCTGTGAATTGATCTCTGGGTTGGGAGTGGATCCCAGATCCAGTGGTGGGGGGGGAGTGGATCTGGGTTGGGGGGAGTGGATCTGGGTTGGGGGGAGTGGATCTGGGTTGGGGGGGCGGATCCTGGATGCAGGGGTGGGGGCGGGGACTGGATCCTGGATCCGGCCGATCGCTCGCTGTCATTTCCGTGGCTGGGTGCCGCTTCCTGGAGGCTGGGAGCGGGCGGAATGTGAGCGGGAGCCCGGGGATCGCGGCCTGGCTCTGGCTCCGGCTCCGGCTCCGGCCTGAGGCACAGCAACACCCCCCACCCCCCACCCCCACCGCGGTGTGTCCGGCCTCTCACTCACCCACACGCTGTCTCTGTGTCCCTCAGGTGTGTCCGGAACCGAGGACCGAGAGTGAGAGCTGCTCCAATATCCGCGAGTTCCTGAGGGGCTGCTCGGCGCTTCACCTGGAGGTCAGGCCCGGGACCGGGGGGG